ACACGCTGAGAAGCTGCCCAGGTCCAGGTCGCTCCTTTCCGTTCTGGTGAGCACAGCGGTGTTGCTGGCGTAGCCAGGCCGGGCAGGAATCGGGCGTAACACTGGAGTAGCCCGAGATAGGCCTTCAACTCAGCGAGTTTCTTTGGATCCGCAGCGTTCTGCAGTCTTTTCTTCTCCGGCGTTGCGTGAACCCCGGTGGCAGAAATGCAGAAGCCGAGAGCTTCACATCAGCCAGACAGACTCTGCATTGACTTTCAGGCCCACTGAGCTCAGACGGCGCAGCACCTCTCTCGAATTTTCTCGATGACCGGATGGGGTTGGACCCGTCAGAGTGGTGTCATCAAGGGATACCGCCAGGTTGGGTATGCCCGACAGAAACGTCTCCATATTACGCGGGAAAATCGAGATGGCGCCTTTGGGACCGAATCCCAGTCAATTTGGGTGAACCAACTCTCGTTGGTGTTGATGGTGAGTGACTAATTACTCTCGTCATCCACTTCCAGCTGGAAGTAAGCTTCGCAGAGGTCGGTTTTGGTGAACATATTGTCGCCAGCCATAGCTGCGAATAGCTCGTCCACCCTGGGCAGCGGGTATTTCTCCAGCTGACTGGCCCTATTCGCCGTTTGATCATAGCTGCCACAGAGACGAAGAGTGCCAATGGCTTTTTCACCGGCATCACTGGCGCAGTCCAGCGGGACGTTTTCAGTCCTTCCAAAATTCCCTCTGCGACCTGTCTGTCCAGTTCTATTCGATTGTCTCCCGGCGCGCGAGGGGACAAAGTCGATGTTTCAAAAAGATCGGCTTCACTGCCGAATCAAGCTCGAGGGAGACTTCTCGAACATTGTAGCGACCCATGTCCGGTTTGAGCAGGTCACTGTACTCAGCTCGATCTTTCAGCAAGGCAGTTTCCAGATCCCCGGCATCCAAGGGGATGGGCACCAAGAGAATGTGAGACTTCCAATCCAGCTTGATCACGCGTAGCCACTCCCGTCTAAGCAGCGGTGGTCCCTCTGTGTCCGCAACGACAACAGGCAGCGTCACGCCTGGGGCAGGAGGAGGGGAACGCGAGCGCCTTTAAGCGGTGCTCGCTAAACTACGCGAGCATTCACTGGCGGGCACATAGGTGGCTCTGAACCTTACAAAGACACGAACCACGAACGCGCTAACATCTTCCGCGCCCCAGCTTCCGGCAGGGTCTAAACAAATTGGCATGTAAAGTAGACACGCACGTTCTCGGAAACGGCCAGTCCGATCGCCTAGAAACCTTCAATCGATTCCGTGCAATTAGGTGGGCCATGAGGAGGCAATCTCAAGACCTTGCCTGAGGTCAAACGCGTCGAAACGTGGGGGAAAAAATTCCGTGCAAGTGCAGTCAACTCAGATTCCGGAGTCTTCTGCATTGATCGCTGTGAAACCTTCACGGTAGGTTCAAGTGGGTGAAACCTTCACGGGCAAGATGTGGTGTTCCGCTTTAGGTTGCAAGAAGCTGATAATCACGGTCAGTTATAAGCCGTTGATAACAATTTCGATGACCGCTTCCTGGAAGACATACCAAAGAACACACTTTGCAGCCTCAAGAAGAAAACCCTGCGCTACCGCTCCCACATACGCATCTCCGGTGTCAACCACTGAGCCACAGACAACGAATCCCGACACCGGATGGGACACCTCAGAGGTTCACACTGCACGGTGACGTCGCGGCCTTCGGAGACCGCGACACGCCGAGGCTCCCACCATGTTTCATACTGTGTGGGATCCGTACGCCAGCACCAGGCGATAAGTGTGAACTCCCAAGGAGAGAGCATCGCGGCCTCGGCGGTCTTCTTAGCCTTTGCAATGGACGTAAGACCGATCGCGTGAGAGAGAGAGAGAGAGAGAGAGAGAGAGAGGGTGTGTGCGTGTGTGTGTGTGCGTGTGTGTGTTTGTGTGTGTGTGTGTGTGTGTGTGTGTGTGTGTGTGTGTGTGTGTGTGTGTGTGTGTGTGTGTGTGTGTGTGTGTGTGTGTGTGTGTGTGTGTGTGTGTGTGTGTGTGTGTGTGTGTGTGTGTGTGTGTGTGTGTGTGTGTGTGTGTGTGTGTGTGTGTGTGTGTGTGTGTGTGTGTGTGTGTGTGTGTGTGTGTGTGTGTGTGTGTGTGTGTGTGTGTGTGTGTGTGTGTGTGTGTGTGTGTGTGTGTGTGTGTGTGTGTGTGTGTGTGTGTGTGTGTGTGTGTGTGTGTGTGTGTGTGTGTGTGTGTGTGTGTGTGTGTGTGTGTGTGTGTGTGTGTGTGTGTGTGTGTGTGTGTGTGTGTGTGCGTGTGTGTGTGTGTGTGTGTGAATGGCAACCACAAGTGGCCTGGACATGAACCAGCTCGCCTCCGCCATGGAATATCCGGGATGTCCGAGAAGAAGCTCGACCTCCCACCACCACTGCGAGACTATCACAAGTTCCGCTACGACCCACACACGTACTACGGCCTCGGACATACTATCGGCCCTAGAGTTCGCCCACCAAGGCGTCATGTCCGGTGGCGCTCGCTTACAATAACGTGCCGTTATTTAGTGTTGATACAGAGCTGATCAGGACACCAAGATGTATCCGGCAATGTGTTTCCTCGGTAGCCCCATTCGGGATTTCATCCTGATCCCAGGTGGACGGAACCGCCCGCACGAGATTTGACGCAGCACCATGGCGTCTTGCAAAGATAGCCTCAGCAACAGTCACCAGGAACACACGGAGCGCTGGTTCGAATACACGCGACACCTGCTTTCACTTGCAGTGGGAGATCATGTCTACATAAAGAATCAGCTTGGCATATTCACAAACAAGTGTGACAAAACTGGCTCGGTGTCCTAGGTCAGGCAATTAGACTTATGCGTGATACGAGTCGACGGTTCCGGAAGGTTGACCATGCGAAACCGCCGGTTCCTTCGCAAGTGCGTATCCGTAATGCAGCCATCACCGCACCTTGATATCTTCTGCGACCTCCGCACGCGTCTCCCGCCACCCCACCGACCGACTCCCCAAGCCACCGCTCGGATGGCACACCCGGTGTCTCGTCCCAAACCCCAACTAGGAGCCATCGACCATATCCATACCCTTCAGCTGGGAATTCCAACCTCACAACACCCGTGCCGTCAGTGCATACAGCTCCCCGATCAGGCGCGTCACCGACGACACCCCATGTCTGTGAAGTTAGCGATTTAATCAGCGATTTTTTCAGCGACGAGTTCCGATTTCTCTGAAGAAGGGTCGCAAGGTCAATTTTGGCATGGGAACACAAAAATGACCATTATTTTGCAATATGTGACCTTCAAGATCAAAAGCTCAGTCAAAGGACTGGGAATTCGATATCACCCAAAAACTACCCGCCGATTTGGAAACTGTGAGCATCAAAATATTCAAAAGCGCAAGAGCTAGCGTCCGTCAAAAAGTCCCGACCTCTCAGGGTCCCCTTCAAGGTCAAACACGGGCTCAGAGAACGGGGTACACCATGCCACCCAAAAATTACTGGCCGAGTTTTAACTTACAAACAGCAGAATATTCACCACAGGAAGAACTAGCGTCCGTCAGAAAGTCCTGACCTCTCAAGGTCAACCTTCAAAGTCAAGGACGGACTCAAGGACGGGGAATTTCATATTACCCAAAAAACTACCGGCCGATTTTTAAGTTACAAACATAAGAATACTCACCACTGAAAGAGGTAGCGTCCGTCAATTTATTTGACTTATTTGAGCCCTCATTTAACCTTGGAGAGTGACCTTAAGAGGTCAGGACTTTTGACGGATGCTAGTTTTTTCTGTGGGAAAAATTCTGATGTTTAGAAATTTAAAATGGGCCGTTAATTTTTGGGTGGTATGGAGCTACCGGTCCTTTGAGCCGGCGTTTAACCTTAAAGGGTGGTCTTGAGTGGTCATAATTTTTGACGGACGCTAGCTCTTGCGCTTGTGAACATTTTGATGCTCACAGTTTTCGGATCGACCGGTAGTTTTTGGGTAATTTCGAGTTCCCCGTCCTTTGACCCAGCTTTTGACCTTGATGGTCGCATGAAATTGTAAAATAATGGTCATTTTTTGTATTATTATGGCGCAAGTGACCTTGAAACCATTTTCGGAGAAATCGGAGCTCGTTGCTGAAAAAAATCGCTGAATAAATCGTCAAATTCTCGGACATTGACGCCCCTCACCCGCCGTGCAGCAACAATAACACCCCAAGCTCAGTTAGCACTCCACTCAGGCGCGTCGCCGAGGACACCGGAACGGCACTAGACGGCTCCATCCGACCACGATGCTGACGTCTATCCACATACCTCGCCAACAAGCAAGCATTCGCCCCGCCCAACGGTCATCACGCACGGAGCGCCGACCAATGTGCCTTGACGCTTGCATGTAATGATCTCAGAGACCATGGGCGCGCTAGGCCGGCAGATACCCTTGGAAAACTATTCGGAATGCTGGGAAAAAATTCCAGTAAGGCGTTTGACACTGCCGATACGGAAAATCATCTCATTTAACTTTCCGTACCGCGTAAGAACCCCGGAAAATTTTCTGAGCATTGTCAGGACGGATAATTTTTCTCTCTGTGCATGGCTATGACCAGTGACCGTGCATGGCGCATGTGCTACGAATCTGGGAGATTTTGTCTGGATCTGTCGAACGTAAATAGAGCGTCCCCGGGAATGATTGCAGGAGAAATAACCATTTGTTGGCTAATTTACCCTCAGCCGAACACGCCCCGAGTGGGATAGCGGAATTATGTTCTCAGTCTCTTCTGTTTCTTGTTTGATAGTAGTTCCACGATCTTATTTGTCTTCCCTTTACCAACAGACACCAAAGTTGTATATATTAGGTGAATTAAGGGTTGATGAACGAGCGTTTGTTCATCCAACCATATCCCGCATATAGCGGCCCGTTGCGCATTGAAGTCTCAACATCAGTGACGTCATGTTACGCTAGGCGAAGATGAAGCCGGGATCACCGGACGGCTTTACCTTCCTTTCACGGCCTTGACGGTGCTATTGTAAATTCCGTAAGAAATTCTGGTTATCTGCAAAGACCATTTATCAACGTTGTCCGCGAATTTTTGGTGGGTGGGCTTTGCGTGGGCCGTGTTGTCGAACAAGCTAATGTGAGTTTGCTTTAACGCTTTGCTGTGGTAAGGGACATAGCTTTGCAAAATGCGTCGAGTAACACAGTGAGGAAAAATAGTTAAAATTGATGTTGAAATGCACAGAAAGGGGGTCGGCTTCCCCCAAATGTTCTCGGCGGGGCCAAAAAATGACCCGGAAATGACGGAAGGAAATCTAATCACGGTTCTAAAAATAAGAGAAATATACTCTAAAATTCTCCATGATGTACTTGATAAGAAAAATCCAATAAGCTTTGAAAAAGTAAGACACTGATGTTGACTGTGAGCTTGGGCTGGTTCACCACAAGGTGGTGTTCTGGGCCTGCCCCCGGGGCTTGGGTCAAAGTTGCAAGGACTCCAGCTTCTCAAACTGTCTAGGATAGGATAGGAACCACCCTTGGTGTGTGCTTAGCAGAGGGAAAATTACCAATTATTTCTTAAAATCATTCACAAAGATTCTCTACTTTCAGCAGATCTGTTAATAATCCTCAGTTTCTTCTACCATGTGTCATACACATCAAATGGTCATAGTTATGCATAGTGATAAAAGATTCTTCATCATGGCCATGCTCTGAAAGTTTTCTGACTATGCCCTGAAAATTTTCTGGAATACTTCCCAGGTAATTACCCAGGATTATTTGCCAGCCAAGTTACCCTCAGTGACTTCTTCCAATTATCCTATTCTTCAGAAATTGCACTATCTTTGGACATGCATTGCAAAAAGAAGTTGGAATAGGAAGGAAGCAAGGAGGTGTGGAGAATTGGTGTTGTCAGGCCAGCCTGTAAACCAGGGCAGATTTTAACAAGATCTTGTGACAGAGGTGGGGCCTAACTTCTAATTTTTGGTAGCTTATTCAAATTATGGGGCAGCCATTATTGAATATTGGTATTGAGGACATCATAACATGGTCTAGAACATACCTTATCTTACCCTACTGTATGGTAATCAGGAATTATAAAGGGCCACAAGGCCTGGTCTTGTCAGGCTCCTGGTGCAGTAAGCAAGCAGTCAAATTATGGGTAGATTCAGTGTGGGATGTCATACATGATGTTACATAAGATGGATATGATGAAAAGTGACTGAATATCATGATACTTATATTTTGGTGTAAGTAGTGTTAACAATCTCTGCCCCAAATAGGTCCAGCTTACCATCCTACTTTGGGGCATGATTCTGTCTGCCCCAGATACCTCATTGGCATGGGTTCCATGAATTGCAGACTGGTGACCAGGCTTTTCTTACAATAACAGTTTGGTATGAACTTGGTCAGCACTCATCTTAAGGCAACCAAAAGAAACATTTTTTACTACTGCAGTAAGATAATTTTAGCCTAATAGCCCAATCCCATCTGGCTGCACCTCTGGAGTGGGCTAAAGAACAATAGTTGGCCCCAGAAGCGCTAGGGACAACAGATAACTTCAGAGAAGCCTAAAAGCATTAGGACCTTCAAGCATCATAAGGCCCAGTAGGGTTTTGGGATTCCAAGAATATGAGGGACTCAGACATTACTGGAACTACTGCTAGCCTATGCTGGAAGCCCATAGAACATCAGGTGGCTCAAAGTATGATTGAGCTCAAAGAGCAGCATGGCTGCTCAGTTACACAGAAGGCTGTGATGCATTTTGTAGGAGGGTTGGCAAGCATTTTCACAGTTTTCTTACATCAATAGCAGCAAATGGTTCAGATTTGTTGTGGTATGTTTGGCAATGGTACAAGTGCATTGCTTGGGACTGGATTGTTTCCCATTTTGTCATGTTCAGTCTGAACTTTATTTTGAAGAGCATGATGCTATTGTCCAGCATGTAGTCTTGAAGGTGCTGTAGGAAGTAGGGCAGCACCAATGTGAGCTAGGAGCTTTTGGCCTTCATTGTATAGCACAGTTTGGTGAATACATTGGCACAACCATGGCAGATAGTGAGAATATCTGGCTGTAAAACAGTTCTCTTGAAGTAGAGGGTATGAAGGCTGCTTAAAGCCAATGCAGCATGGGTTGCAGGCTGGTGCATTGCCTACCCTCTTCTCTTTTCTTTCTCGTCATTGGGCCAAGATGTTCATATTTCACAGCATATTTCCAAAGCACTTCTAAATCAATGTTTTGTCCTATTACCCAAGCACAAGTTGTTCCTCTAACATGAGCTTTCAGATCCTGTTGAACATGCTGAGGCCTGTAAATATGTGATCTTATTGGACTGTATATCAGATTTGCTTCCTGTAATATGCAACCAATCAAAAAGCCCCTCATACATGCAGTACAGCTTGAATCTATACCATTTGATAGTTGGTCATCATTGGTGGTCCAGGTCATTTCATGTTCAAAAGCAGAATCTGTCAGCTCATTATTCCTGTGTATTGGTGTTATGTTTCTAAACATTCATTTCAGCCCAGCAGGGGCTTAGATACCTGCACATTATGGAGGACTTATGATGCCTTCATTTTAGGAATGGACTCAACACATTTGGGAAATGATTGACACTGGATGAGAGGGGTGCTACATGAGAATCCTGGTTGGCTTGAGCTGTAGCAATGCATATCAGCTATTTTGCCACCAAATGGAGTTGCCACTTTTGTCACAATTCACCATATTGGCTCATCATGTAGATGTATTTGGATACATGCTTTCATTGGTGTCCTCAGTTTGCATTTCATTAAGGATCCTGATCAACTAGGGTCCAAAGCTAAAATTCAGCTTTTGCCCAACATACTCTCAGCATTGACTAGCTCTCCATGGCCTGAAGTCCCAAAGATGCTTCTGGCCAGATGATTGTGATATGTGGGATGGGAGATCACCATGCAGCCAGCAGTGGCCTTCATGCCAATGTAGGCAACATCAGGTTAAATGGCCTGGATCTTGGCAGGCCTCAGGGGACAGCAGCTCACTGAACAGTGTCCCATCACAGCAAACTGAGTCTGCTGCTTTACTAAGGGATTGGGTGGCTGATATGGAGATCTCACGAAGTTCTGTACACCCAAGATTATCAGTTGTTACATCCAGCTGTGTTGTGAATCTTTGCTAGTTTAGTGGTGAGGTCTTCCAGATCATCTGCCACACCACAAGCATGCATTTTGAAATAGCCTGTGTCGCACTTTGATCCATGTATGTGGGAATAGGCAAGGCACTTAGATTACTCTAGTTTTTAGGTGGGTCAGGGTTTAAGCAAAGATGAATGCCTGAATAGAGGGTCACATGAATGGTTGGTTTCAAAAATATTATCTTGGTTGTGAAATTGATTGCAAGTTTTTGCAGGCAGGGGGTAGCAGCTGCTGCATTTGAGGCCGGCCAGGGGTTTTTAGATTTTGATGTCATGCAAAGGGCAGCAACTTCAGGATTAAATGCTGTGAATCATGACATACCACAGGATTGTGCTGCACAGTGTATGTCCCTGTTTTGTGCCAGCAGGCCTGGGTTGAACTGTATACTCAGAACTTGACCACATGTTTTGTAGAGCCAGTGCCTTCAGACCAGGCTGCGCTGGGCAAGTACTCAACTCAGTGCCACTGCAGCACCAGTTTAAGCAGACCAAATCACTGTTGGGTCTAATCCCACCTGACGGCTGCCATCTCCCGCACGGCAGTGTCGGCATCTCTCCAGGGATGGCGCTGGATGCGGAGCGGGCGGCCGTGCTCCAGGCGCTGACGGCGGCGGCCAGCCAGTCGGTGTCCGACCTGAAGCCGGCCGAGGCGCAGCTCGCCCAGTGGGAGACGCAGCCCGGCTTCTACACGGTGCTGCTGCGGCTGGCCGCCGACGCCCAGATCGCCGTCAACGTCCGCTGGATGGCCGTGCTTTACTTTAAGAACGGCGTCGACATGTACTGGCGCAAGACGGCCCGCAACTGCATCCCGGAGTCGGAGCGGCCCGAGATCCGCGGCACGCTGCTCAGCTGCCTTGGCGAGCCCGTCCACCAGGTGCGGCGCGCGCTCGGCCCGGCCCGGCGCTCGGCCACCGTCGCCGCCCCGGTGCCCGTTCGCTGGTCATCGCGCAGCGGGTGGTGGGCGCACGCTTTGCTGCCCAGCAGTGGGTTTTAAAGTTCAGTACGGTATTTTTGTTGGTGTGTTAAAAAGCTGTCTTGTCAACAGATGTTGAATCGTAACCACGCTTGCATGACGTCAGCTCCTTTTTGATGGGTTGCTATGGGTTGTGGGAACATCTGCGTTTCCCCCTGTTTTCTAAGGGCTCGAAATGGCCATCGTAGCCGGCGTGCTCTAAAATCCCAGTCATCATCATCATCATGATCTCTCTGTTCATCTGTGCATCCGTCCCGCTGCTCTCGGCCCTGATTCGCCACCGAAGCGGCCATATCCCGGCCGGCGGCGTCCAGCCATGTTCGGACGCCGCGGCGTGAGCGCAGCGCCGCGGCCGCTGGTCACGCCTCCCATGTCGGCAGGTGGCCACGCAGATCGCGGTGCTGATCTCGCGCGTGGCGCGGTTCGACTGTCCGCGCGAGTGGCCGGAGCTGGTGCCGTCGCTGATGACGCTGGCGCTCGGCGGCGAGCCGCTGGCCTCGCACCGCGCCCTGCTCACGCTCCACCACGTGGTCAAGACGCTCGCCTCCAAGCGGCTGACGGCCGACCGGCGCGCGTTCCACGAGCTGGCGGCGGTCGTCATGCCGCCGCTGCTGGCCGCCTGGCAGCGGCTGCACGAGGCCAGCCTGGCGGCGCCGACCGACGCGCAGATGAACCTGGAGCGCGCGCGGCTGGCGCTGAAGACGCTGCGGCGGCTGACTGTGCACGGCTGCCGGCGGCCGCATGAGTCGGCCGACGCCCAGGCGCTGCTCGGCGCCGTGTTCGAGCGCTGTCGGCAGGCGCTGGAGCTGCGCCGCTCGCTGCAGCAGGCCGGCCAGCCGCTGGCGCTGGCCGAGAAGTACGCCGTGTTGCACACCAAAGTGCTGGCCGACACGATCGAGAACCACCCGTTCTCGTTCGTGGCGCTGATCCGGCCGACGCTCGAGTTCTGCGCCGTGTACGTGTTCACCGAGCGTGGCGAGGGCCTGCTGTTCGAGCGCTTCACCATCCAGTGCCTGAACCTGATCAAGGCAGTGCTGCTGTGCACCGAGTACCGGCCGCCCAAGGACCCGTCTGACACGAGTGAGCCGCAGACGCTCGAGGCGCACCGCATCAAGAGCGAGTTCTTCAGCAGTCAGCCGCTGGAGCAGATGTGCCGCCACCTGGTGACGCAGTTCTTCCCGCTCACGGCCGACGACTTGCGCGCCTGGGACGCCGACCCCGAGGGCTACGTGTGCGAGGACACCGGCGAGTCGTGGCGCTACTCGCTGCGCCCCTGCACGCAGTGCCTGTTTGTGGCGTTGTTCCGCCAGTACCAGCAGCAGCTGGCGCCCGTGCTGCTGGCCATGCTAGAGCGCACGCTGGCGGCGCCGGCCTCGACCGAGCTGAGTCAGGCGCTGGCGCGCGAGGCCGTCTACAGCGCCGTCGGCATGGCCGCCTTCGACCTGTACGACGAGGTGGACTTCGACCGCTGGCTGACGTCCGGCCTCCTGCAGGAGTTGGCCATCAAGGAGTCCAACTACCGCGTGGTGCGCCGCCGCGTCATCTGGCTCATCGGCCGCTGGGTCGGCGTCAAGCTGTCGGCCCGCCTCCGCCCGGACGTGTACAGGTGAGCGGCGGGCGGCACCGCCGGCACGCGTGAGACCGGGATCGCTGTACGATGCGGACACTTCGGCGTTGAGTGGGAGAGGCCAGTCGAGCAGGCGCGCTCCCTGGTGTCCCGATGCCGTCGGGGCTGGTAGCGCTGCTGGACTGGCTGCTCTGTCATGTAGACCGCCGCGACTGGCCGCTATCACGATCACCCGACTTTGTTCACGCGGCCGCTGGCGCTGCCCCGGCCGCGTCTGCGCGCGCCTACCCTACGCTCCGCGTGCCCTCTGACCGTCCGCCGGCGGCGCCAGGGCGGTGACGGAGCTGCTGAAGCACGAGGAGGACCTGGTCGTCCGCCTGGCCGCCGCACAGACCCTCAAGGACGCCGTCGACGACTTCGAGTTCTGCCCGGAGACCTTCATGCCGTTCCTGTCGGACTGCTTCAGCCAGCTGTTCCGGTTGCTGCAGGAGGCCAAGGAGTGCGACACGAAAATGCAGGTGGGCGATTGTCCTGGCGCAGACTGGCGCGGCGCCTGCCTGACACTGAGGTGTTTGTACCGGTTGGGTCCCATGTCAGTGGGATACGACCCGAGAATCAGCGGTGGTCCCGCGGGCCTGTCTAATCCAATCCGAAGTCTAATCCCAGTACTTATGGATAAATATCCATATACCGGCTCCGAAAAGGTCAGTATGTGAGAGGCGTAGTGGCACATGGCGGCGAAGGAGGCTCAGTGGTGTATTTTGATCCTCCGGCTCAGATCCGGTTACAAGTGATGCGTAGGCGCCGGTTGACTGGAGGACTGGCTGGCTGCCCTGTCACCAAGCGGCGGCACCTCTCCGCCTTCCGTCGGCACGTCACGCTGGGGTGCGTGTGTCGGGCAGGTCCTGAACGTGCTGTCGTTTGTGATCGAGCGCCTAGACTCGGCCATCCGACCATACTGCGACGACCTCATCTCCTACCTGCCGGCGCTCTGGGACGACTCGGCCGCGCACAACATGCTGCGCGTCGTCATCCTCTCCACGCTGATACACCTGGTCCAGGTCAGCGCCGGGTCAATATCCCATGCGGTGTGTGGAGGATGGTCACTGCTGTCATTGAGCAAACCTGTCAAATGTCGCTTGAGAGCCTCCATACATCAGTGGCAGTGTGTCTTCTCTCACATTTCGGATCTGTCCTGCTGCCCCTAGCCTCCAGTGGCTGGGAGAGGCCCTCGTACTGCGGTGACTTGTGGTCTGGCAGAGGTTGAAGGCATATTATGTTCCTTCGCGTCACGGGCCCGGCGGTTTTCCGGTACACTGGCGCCCCCTGGGCTGGAACGCGCCAGCGTTTCATCCTGCCCTCCCTCCGCCGAGTGGCTGGCACAGCGTTGTCTATCGTCGCAGCGGGTAGGACCGGCCAGTGTGTGACACGACCGTCCGCGCCTGCAGGGCCTGGGGCCGGACAGCGTGCGGCTGTACCCGCTGCTGACGCCCGTCATCCACCTGAGCACCGACCTGTCCAGCGACGCACACGTCTACCTGATGGAGGACGGCCTGGCCCTCTGGCAGGCCACCGTCGAGAACGCCACCCAAATGCACCCGCAGTTCATGGAGGTGCGCGTCGCCGTCGGAGCCGCGGTTGTGCTGTCGGTTCTCTACGTGTCGGTCATGACGGCGTCGACCCCTTAACGGCCGCGTCCGGCTGTGGCGGCGTCTAACCTGCATACGGATGCTACGCGGGGGTTCTTGTGTCGTTGCATGCTCTGTTATCGTGCGCTGCCGAGCGCATACTTGTGTGCGCCGGCAGCTACACACCCAGCTGATGTTGTTTGAGTGGTGTTTACCTGTCCTGATGCCGTCTGGCCCGCACCAACGGCTGCCAAAGCCGGTGCCGGCTGACCTCGCCCGACCTTGGGCTGACCCGTCTGACCTTCGGCTGACCCGTTTGACCCTCGTCTGACCCTCGTTTGACTTGTCTGGCCAGTCTGACCCTCGTCTGACCCTGGTTTGACTCTTGTCTGGCCCGTCTGATCCTCGTCCGACCCGTCTGACCTCGCCTGATGCCCTTCTGACCCCCGTCGGACCCTCGTCTGACTCCCGTTGGGCCCTCGTCTGACCCGTCTGAGTCTCGTTTGACCCGTTGACCCCCATCCGACCCCGTCTGACCCCGTCTGGCCCTGTCCGACCCTGTCCGACCCAGTCTGACCCCCTTCTGACCAATCTGACCCGTGCCACGTGGCTGCCGGCAGCTGTACGCGCAGCTGGTGCCGCTGTTCGAGCTGGGCACGGAGACGTTGCAGGCGGCATTCGCCATCAGCCAGGCGTATGTGCTGCTGGCGCCGGCGGCGTTCCTGGCGCGCCACGGCGCCACGCTGGCCGCCGCCTGTCGCAGCCTGCTGCCCGAGATGAAGCCCGAGGGCGTGGTCATGGTGCTGCGGCTCGTGGAGTGCGCCTTCAGGGCGGCACCCGAAACCGGTGAGCGCGCGCCGCGGGGGCCGACCGGCGAGGTCGGGCAGCGCACCTACAGGACCACACCCGGGCAGGGAGCATGGGACGCTCGCCCTGCGGCCGGATTGGGCAGTAGGGCGGAGTTGTGGGCACGGTTTGGCCGGCGTCCCGCACGAATGCGACGTTATGATGGCCTTCAGAACACTGTGTGTGGTGCTTGTGGGCTTTCATCATTTTACTGTGCCTCCCTCCGAGACCGCTGTGGAGTGTGTCATGGTCGCACTGGGCCGACGGAATCGGCGGCTATTCTGCTCAGCTTCTACAATGCTCAGAGCGATTATGTCTGGCGAAAAATCGTCCGAGTGAAATCTGTGAAAGGTGCTCATTATTTCTCCAATTCATTCGGTGTTCCTTTTTCGAATGTCAGATGTGCACTGCAGTAGTTTCGCAAGGCCGTGACGTTAAGGGCTCAACAAGAGGGCTTGTCCTGACAAGGTAAAACGAAAATGTGGAAGTGACTTTTTTGGCGCCCCATCCCGGTAAGCGTACCTCGCCGCGCCGCCGGCGCTGGCCGCCTGTGTGACGGGCGGCGCCGCGTCCACAGCCGTCAGCCTGTTCTCGGGCCTGCTGCCGGCCGTGCTGGAGGCGGCCGCGTCCGGCGAGCCCTACCCCATGGTGATGGCGATGCACCTGAGCCTGCTGGCGCGCCTGCTGCTGGTGGCGCCGGCGCTGTTCGGCCAGCTGCTGGCCACGGTGGCGGCCGGCAGCGGCAGCACGGACGCCATCCTCTTCAGCGGGTCAGCAGACGAGACTGGCGCTGGCCGGCGGACGTGTGCCGTCTGCCTCAGAGGGTGGAGGGAGCCATCTGGGTGTGACTATCTTTGTGGGCGTGTCCTCCCGCTGACAAGAGACTAGCTCATTGGTACTTAAGTTTAGGTTGGAAGTTGTAGAAATGGTAGTGCTGGCGCAAAGTTGGTTGACATGACGTTTGCGCAGCAAGATTTCGACCTTTTGGACTGTTTGTCCTGGAATCTCATCGCGTTAGGGCTGTCTTGAAAAGCCCTCCAAGGGTAGACACTGATGACGAGATTTGTTGACCCTGCGGCGTGTCGTCTCCTCAGCGGGGGGTGCCGTCGTTATTTGTCTGGGTGCTGATGCTGCGGGTCAGACCCCAGGACTGCTGGAAGTGTGGCCGGACGGTGTGTGTCGTGCATCCACTGTCGGCGTTTGCCCCGCCCCAGCCCGCGGGCTGCGTGGCCGGAGAGCCCGCCCCCGGTGACCGCGCCCGTCGCGTCCGCCCAGGCTGCTGGAGGTGTGGCTGGACAAGATGCCGCTGGTGACGCCGGTGGAGCGGCGCAAGCTGCTAGCGCTGGCGCTGTGCTCGCTGCTGCCGGCCGCCTCGCCGCCGGTGGCCGGCCGCATCAACCCGCTGCTGCTGAACGTGGTGGAGACGCTGCACGACGTGAGCCGGCCGGACGGCGGCGGCGACACGCTGGTGGTCAGCGGGCCCGAGCAGCTGGCCGCCGACTCGGAGCCCGAGTACGAGACGGCGCATGACGTGCGGCGCCGCGCGCTTACCGCCACCGACCCCGTGCACACGCAGGTACTGCGCTGCCGCGCGCGGGGGGCTGCACGGACCCCGACCGTACCCGGGTGCTGGTGGCCCCGTCCATGCGCAGGCACTATGCTGACCTCTGGCGCAGCTCGCGCTCGGGTGCTGACGGCCACCGGCCCTGTCCACACTCGGTGCTGATGATGTCTGTTTTTATTGGTGTCGAGCTACTTCAGGCATTCGGAACTTAAGTTGTTACGCTCATTTGTGAGGAATATTATGCACATAGATAATACGGTAGCAAAAACCTTATTCCTCGGAGAAAAACCAGGAGAACTGAGATATAGATGCGTTGATATTTCTGAAACACGCCTTTATCAAAACAAATAGCAGAAGTCTCCTGTAGACAGAAGACAGTCTTCAGTGTCCAGGACCAGGAAAGTCTTAAGAAGACTTCCGCTGTTCGTTTCGATACAGGCATTTTGCCGATACGTCGCCGTATCTATATCTCCATTCTGGTTTTTCTCCGAGGAATATGGCTACCACTACTAACTTATCTACATTCGGAACTTGGTTAACTCGCGATATATATATATATATATATATATATATATATATATATATATATATATATATAGCTTGTTGAACTGTCCGGCCGTGCCCTAAGGTTTCCTTGAGTTAGACATTTTCCTCTTTCCCGTCGTCATTGGCCATCTCTGGGCCTCTGCCCTTCCAAGACCGCCTCTGCCATGCGGCACTGCCCTCCCTGATTTTGACCACCACTCCCTGACCGTGACCGCCCCTGCCCGGTCCGCCAGGTGCTTCGGGACGTGCTGCAGACGCGGCTGCGTGAGATGCTGGCGGCTGTCGGCGAGCGGCGTTACGCGGAGCTGGCCGCCGACGTCGACGTCGAGACTGCGCAACAGCTCAGGGAGTACGTGCAGTTGTGAGCGGCGCCGCCGGGGCCGCGCCGCGCCTGTTTTGTCCCGCTGGCTGCTTGAGTGTGCTGTGGTGTCGTCGTGCCGCGGCCGTCCGCCGCGCGCCCGCCATGTTGGGAGCTGTGATCTGGCGCCCGCTTGCTTCCAGTCGCGCGCGCCGCGGTGAGGAGCTGAACGACTCGGCGGGTTCCGTGTATGTGTTACGCTCAGGATTCTCTTCCTCCGGGAAGCGGCGTTGTTTTGGCGCGCGCTGTCTGGCGCGGCCGTGCCCCCTGTGATGGCCGTTGTATGAGATGTCCGACCGGCGGCGGCGGGAGATGTGCTGTGGCGAAGCGCCGCGGTCGGCACTGAGGACGGAATGTCGGCAGAAGTGCAGTGTGCATGACACGAATGGAGGAAGTGCGGGAGGCGATGATAGTTGATGCACGCCTTAGAGGGTGCCGAGTTTTTTGGGACATGATTTATTTGCCCCGTCACGCTTGTATCCAAACTTCGTTTGTCATGCTTCTTCAGATATGCTGAAAATAAAATCTAACCACGATATTTTCAAGCTGTCGTTTGTCAATGACTGCCTATTTGGGATGTGTACGACTTTTCGTAAAGAACGGCTTATATCTGATCTCAGTTTAAGAACACGCGAGATGTTTAGACTACAGACACACTATGCAACATCGAGTCTAAGTCTGAAACAACATCGGGTGCAATCAGTTTGCATTTGTAACACAGCTGCGGTAAACCAAGTAATCACCGCAATCTCGATCGAATCCGAAAACATGCGGACATAGTGTTCAGACGGTGTACTGAGCACTGTTCGGAAAAAGCCGACAGGGTTCGTCCCGGATTTCTACCTGATTTTCATCCATGCACCGTCTTCGTCCGGCCTTCTCCCCCAGCTCTGGCCCCGTACATAGAGCGGGGTTGTTTACTGCCGACTGTTCGGCCTGCTGGTCGTGGCGTCTCCCCTAGCTCTTGTTCTACACGTCGAGCGGGACTCGTCACTGACGACCGAACGTCAGTTCCGCTGGGGATGCACGTCTGGTAACGTGGGCAACAGCACGACAATGGAACAAAACGCGAGCGACTTTGGTCATCATAGAGGCCTTTCTTTTTGCCTGTCGAAACGATTTTTGGACATGTGCGCGCACCCCACAGAAAGCCACACAGAGACGAGACACGGCCTGAGACTTTCTGTTGAAGACAGAAGGTAGTCCCACGTAAAGCTCACTGGTAACAGCAGAGTTGGATATGCCGTGCATCTTTACGATGGTTGTTTGTGTGACATTCCATATCAATGCAACCAAAGGTGGCCTTCAACGGTTTTGACTTCAGCCACTCTTTACAAGACACGACTACTGATCCGTGACAACCCTTTTGGTGCTAAACGATAGTCGCCGGCCACATATCAGAGACGACCCGTTTTCGGAGCAGCCAGAATCGGCGGCGTCCATTTGCTGTTTTCTACCGCCTTCCGTAGTCGCTCACCTGGGTCTGCTTGTCCAGCTTCACGCCTGCTTGTCCCCGATAGCCGAGCGGACCACCCTGGTCTCAGAGAACCGGGGCTGCTCAGCGCTGCATTTCAGTGGACTGGGAAGCGTAAGTGTGTATAGTTGCATGGGCAAGCGTGTAATACATGCAGCTGATGGACGTAAATGCTCGTTAATCAAGGGTAAAGACCGAAGCTGCCCCAATCACCAGACGCAACCGATCCGTCAGGCCCGCAGCACAGCCAAGCCAGGCATGCAGCTTACTGTAACTGGGAGCGGCTCAACGGGCACGCTCCCGTCGGCTGGCTGCCGGACGCGGCGGGCGGAGGCTGCGTTAGTCGTGCCGTGCTAATTGGAACGTCAATACAACGGAGCACCGACGGCGGGCCCTGAGGTGATTATTTGAGCTGGAGGACGTGCCGACTGCTCTGGGCGTGTGGCGTCCAGGACTTAAGCTGTACACTAGCACTGCCTGCAAAGTGAAGGCACCGAGGGATGTATAACGTGGCATGGAGCACCACGACACGGTCGCTCCTAGTGCCCGTGCCTGCCCGTGGTCACCTGGTGCCCGCGCCTGCCCGTGACCACCTGATGCCCGTGCCTGTCCGTGACCACCTGGTGCCCGCGCCTGCCCGTGACCACCTGGTGCCCGCGCCTGCCCGTGACCACCTGGTGCCCGCGCCTGCCCGTGACCACCTGGTGCCCGCGCCTGCCCGTGACCACCTGATGCCCGTGCCTGTCCGTGACCACCTGGTGCCCGTGCCTGTCCGTGACCACCTGGTGCCCGCGCCTGCCCGTGACCACCTGGTGCCCGCGCCTGCCCGTGACCACCTGATGCCCGTGCCTGTCCGTGACCACCTGGTGCCCGCGCCTGCCCGTGACCACCTGGTGCCCGCGCCTGCCCGTGCCTGTCCGTGACCACCTGGTGCCCGTGCCTGTCCTTGACTACCTGGTGCCCGTGCCTGTCCCTCAACGGAGGAACATTGAGCATGAGCATCATTTGGTAACTAGATGGCGCTTGGGAACTGACGGTCTACCCATCACGGCCACATGTATTTTGACCCATCGGGAGAATACATATAGCGCGTTTCGGTGTCGTTGGATTAGATAAGTTCGGGTGACATCTCTACCAGTATAAATCTACTTGTTTGTTTGCTGGCGTCGCTACCTCGCGCCACGCCATTGGCCAGCCGGCTCACGTCCGCGGCCGGGACAGGTCCAATGAGTCATCCCCAAATGCCCGCACATATCCACAACCCCTCGGACGTGATTTATTGCCTACTGCCATCACCGCCGACTCAGCAATTCGCCTTCCATGCCCGTAAGCCCGGCGACGACACAGTCTCCGCTCCGCTCCCATGTATTCGCACGGCTCTCAGCCGCCCGGACGGCGCCGGGCCCACGCTCTCTGAACACAAGCGGAGCTGAGCGGCGAGCCCGCTGGACGGATCGCGAGACGCTCGTCCGCGCATGCGCAAACGTCGGCGCCTCCCAAGACGGGCAGTTTCAGGGGAACGGCGGCGGACCGAGCCGTCCGAGACGGTGGTTCGCTCCGCGCGCGCGCCCGGTCAGGAGAGGAAACAGAAAGGTGACCGAGACGCGCGCGCGACCAAGCGCGCGGGAGATTCGACGGACGACCAACCACCGGGATAAAGCTGGACACTTGTTCAAGCGCACTGATGGAATGCCAATGTACACACTGCCCCGGCGGTGACGATACCAGCCGAGGCCCGCAATGGCGAGGGAGGAAACAGCAGCTCCAGCTGGCCGACGCAACAGCTTCGTCCTCCCCGCCTCTTTCGCTGCCGGACACCACTAAACTCTACAAACATTCTGTAAATAGCGAGCTCATCCAACAGTACTGGCTCCATACACCCGCCACTTTAGCTACCGTTCTCGCATGTCCGCAGCACGTGTTCAAAAGGGAGACGACAGGAGCTGAAAATGAAAGTGTGAATGGCGCAACGTTAGGGTTGAGTCGCAACAAGCGACGTCATCTAGTTGCTCATGCAGTCCGCATGGATACCACAGTCATCCCGGCAATGTGGCCGGCGGACTGTTGGCATAACCAGCATAAAAACGAGACGAAAGAACAGCCGAGCCGCTGAACAACCAAGCCTCCCGGTAAAAAATAGTCATCACCCCATGAAGGTCGTCTGCTCCCAAGTCTTTTGACAAGACGAGAGACAGTGACGCTCCACAACCCCTCCCAACGATGTCGCGATAGACTCCTTACAACTCAACAACTCCCCCGATCACGCACCGGAGCACTCACGCTCATCCGCCAGCACATCACACCGCCACCCGCACGAGGTAACACGCTCGCGTCCCGCCGCCGCCTGCCGGCCCCACTCGCCCCGGCGGAGGCGACCGGTCACCGAGCCGCGGTCCGCTCACGCCTCGGCTCCGCGCTCCGCGTAAGTAGTCTTGCTCGTCAGGTCTTCGGATCGCTTGCTGCGGCGGACCGGCCAGAGGTAGCCGCTGCGTCTGGCTGCCGGCCGCCCGCGCCGCACCTCAGTACACCCACGTGACGGGCACCCACTGCGGCTCCGTCTCCAGCGCCATGACGGCCTCAACCACGCGCCGGTATGTCTCTTCCGGGTCCTCGTTGATCAACAGCAGATCGAAGTACTTCTCGTAGGCGCGCTGCAGCCGCGCCGACTCCTCCATCTGGTGGCGGTGGTCCTCCTCCTGCGGGCACGCGCGGCGTCATCGCCCAGCTCCGGGTCAAGCATCGCCGCCGCGCGGCCGGGGGCAGGTCACGTACTCAGGGGCGCGACGCCCTGCGTCCAATAAAACAAACACGGCCGCTCTAGCGCTGATGCGCTGGCGAGACGGGGAGCGAAATAGAACTGTCTGGCCCACATATCAATCGACGACGAAACCTGACACGAGTGCGAAAACGGAGTAAACTGTCAAGCCGCCAGCTTGCACGCCGCGTGGATACCGAGCCCATGATTCGTCAGGCGGCGCTCCAGTAGTGCACGCATCGGATCAGATCGGCTCCCGCCCGGCGCCGTTCTCGCGCCGGCTCGGCGGCCGGGGAGGGAGAGGGGAGGAAAGGGGCGGTACTCACGTCGTAGAGCGAGTTGAGTGACTCGAGCGTGCGGCCGCGGCGCGAGCTGTACCGGGCGCTGTTGCGGTCAAACTGCGGACACGCGGCCGGGGTCAGGCCGGGGTCAGGGTCGGGCGCGCGGCCGCTGGCATCACCGGACAGATGCAATGCAAGACAAGCAGCTGCGCTCTTCACGCCATGAGGCTGTCGTTCTACAGGGAAACTGATGCACGAACGTCAGGCTTCAACGTTCCCGCCCGGCTCGGTCGACTGGCTACAGGATGCAAGCGAGAGTCTAGCGGCTTGCGCCGATCACACACGTCATCAGGCACATTCGCGATCGGTTGGACTTCGGCGGCCGAAGCGGTACTCCAACCACAACCCACATGCTCGGTCATGCCTGGCCAGACGCGGCCCCTGGCGCCGCACACAGCCAGCGTCCGCCCTCTGCTCGTTCTCCACTCGCGGGCCGCCAGGCGCCGCGGGTTGCGTCGCTCACCGTAAGACTGCGGCTCGAGTTGCGCAGCGTGGTGGCCGACTCGCGGTAGAGCTTCTCCACGTCGTCGACGCCCGGCGCCGCCAGAAACACCACGTACGGGTGGAACTCGGCCGAGTTGTAGAGCGTCTTCAGCGACACGGGGCTGCAGTCGAGCACGCACATCTTGCCGGAGCGGATCACGGCCCGGATCGAGTCCAGCTTGGTACCTGGTGGGCGGGTTATGGGCAGCTAGTGACATCCGGAGAGTTAGTGGTTCGGGAGACTGGCGAAGCGACACGGTGATCAGGTGGCTCAGCTACACCGCGGAACCCCGACGAAATGACGACTGCGAAACGGATCGGCGGACACCTCCACGTCGCCCAACAACCATTGACAATTAAGTATTCGCACCAGCAGACACCAATACTCTCCCAAAGAGCGGGCCATAGGCAAGCCCCCGCCAGAGGCTTGCGACTTGCGTTTCAGATGCACCCCACGTACCGTACAGGTGTCCGTTGAACTGGCCGTACTCGAGGTAATGCACGTTCAGAATGTCCTCCTCCATGGCCTCACGCGACGTGAAGTGGTACACCTGACCGTCTTCCTCGTCTTCTCGCCTTGGTCGGGACGTGTCTGCAGAATCAGGAGCGGTGAGCTACGCAACAGAAACAGACAAACACCGACGCATTGACACAATGACATGCCCTCGGTCGGCCGGGCAACAGTGATGAGCTCGTGTGGAAGTCAACGGGGTTCAGTCCATTCTAATCTACTTCTCCATTTGTCGTTGGATTCACCACAGTTCCTGGATACCTGCATTGATCAACGCGACCCAAAAGTTAGATCAGCCCGGATCAGCGATGATCTTTCCGCACTGACCCGCGCTTATCCAACCTTGTTTCATAATACTACGTTCCACATTCATGGCACGGACAAGCTGAGAGACTGGTCACGTAATCGCGAACAAGTACAAATTTCTTCAAGGGTAATGGTCCACTTCGATGACTTTTTACGACACTTCATCGACTTCATTACATCCTCAAGCCCAGCCTAAAACGGAGTGAAGCAAGGAAGACAGCTGTAGACACAGTCAAACGCCATCATCAAGCAAATACAGCCGGCCGGAACAAAGGAAACGGTCTGGCACGACCGCCGGAGCTCATCTTCATCACGACCGAAGGGATTTATACGACCGCCAGTGGCCCAAATGACGGCCCGGCCGAGCTGCTGAGACCGTCCTCGGACATCGAGAGGCACACCGCGCTCAGACTGCCCGCACCCAAATGGGGCCATCCGTCACATAAACTGACTTAGCGCCAACCTTGGTTAGCCAAATGAGGACGAACCTTGGTCATATTTTAAGGGACCCGCTCTCCAACCAGCTTTAAGGCTTGGCGGCAGCACGGTATCATGAACTAAAGACACTTGATTGGGTCATCGAGCGTCATGAATCATTGAAATGCAGGGTTTTACGGCGGCCAAATTATAACGAAACGGAGACCCATTTACCTCTACCTTGAACAAAACTGTGAAATGGAGCGCAGATGCTCATTTCATGCCGTCACTAAAGTACCGACACAAAACGAACCAACAGAATAAGTTATCACTTGCTTCTGAGGCGACTGTGAACCGCTGCCCGCGGCACCTCAATCTGCGCACACGTCTGCACTGAGTGCGGCGCCAGGCCGGGCCGGCGACCGACGCCAGTCACAGCCTTCGGACGGGACCCGAGGGCGGGGCAGGGCCCGGCGGGACCTGGGGCGGGACACGGCAGGGGTCGCAAACGGGGCCCCGCGTGGCCTCGGGAGGGACCAGGTGGGCCTAGAGAGGGACCAGGTGGGGCCTAGAGAGGGACCCGGCGGGGCCTCTGGCATGACCCGGCGGGGCCAGAACACAACGACGCTGGGCCCGAGATCGCGCCGCCCTCCCTGCGGCGGGCGGCAGCACCTGGTCGACAAGCGGCAGCGGCGGCCTCTGGAGGCTCTCCGGACCAGCCAGTGATGATCCGCCTGTGCCGGCCAGGAGTGCAGTGGTCACGTGGGAAGGGGGCCAGGCCGGGACAGACGACACAGTCAAGACGGCTCATCGGCGCAGGTCGCGCCGCCCTGAGGGGAGGGTGCAATGCCTCGGCCCCGACTTCGGTTCGTGAAGACGACCGCCTCATCTCCTAGACGTCAAAGCAGCCTCGACAGTGCTGCGAAACACCCCGTATGGGCGGCGCGGGACGGGCCAGGTTGGTACTATATCAGCCAATTGTAATATGGACTTGACAATGAGCATTCCAAGCTGGGACGGAACGTGTATCAGCGAAGGGGCCGGTTAAGAGCCGAAGAGCACAGACTGAACGCCGCCGCCGCCGCCTCCAGCCGGTGCACAAACCGGCTGTCTCCGGGTGTTCGCGCGTCCGCCCACGGACACGGGCATGCACCGCGCGTCCGGCCGGCCGGGTCAGAGGTCAGGTCGCGCGGCGTGACCTTCGCTGACGTCACGCTCCCGTGAGAGGCGGCCATTGGCCGTGCTCTGACGTCATACCGGCCGCTGAGGCGCGGCCGCCGCGCGCGACGTAATGCGATTAGGCCGGAGTGCGGGCGGCGCCAGCGTCCCGCCGGCCGGCCTGAGTTCTCGCGCCCAGGGTCGGAGAGTCCATCGGGCAGCGGGAGCCGCCGACGGCCCTCACTGTCCGACGAGGCGAACAGTGAGAGCGGCCCGAGGCGGACGCTGAAGGGTGTCGGCGGCGGCGGCGGCACGTGGAGCCAGGCCCGCTGAGGGACGACTGCCGTCGGCTGACGGCGGGCGGACGAACTCAGAGCAAGAGCTCAGGGCGCAGTGCAAAATCAGTCGCACCGCATTTTTGCCTTCCACTGCCAGATAACTGAGCAACATATATATTGATGTTGTGGGCATGAAATTACTTCGGTGAACCCTTCAGTAAACGGAACGACGGAAAACAGAGGGAACAGTGTGACTTTATCATAATGACTTCGGCTTTGGGGCGCACCGACTACGATGGCCACATAGCAGTGTGATTTTAAAATCATGGATCAGTTTACAAACCGGCCGCATTAAATAGCGCTGATCCCAAAGTCCGGCACGTGCATACGGGAAATCGCACCCTGCAGTTGTATGCTGGCGTAGATGAGAAAACGGGGCGGGGGGGGGGGGGGGCAAAGCGAAAGAGACGGGGGAGGGAGCAGGTAAGCAAAATGCGACTGGGGGAGGCAAACAAGGAGAAAGATACGAAGACAATGAGACAGGATTCATCTGGTGGCGGGAGCCAATAGAGGATGTTATTACAAGGAGAATGACACGAGAACATGCCAACAGACGAGCTGACGAGCCAGCCACAAGTGTGCATCTTAACCGGATCGCTAAACGCCCATCCGTCAAGAACGTGATCACCTTTCTGTACATCACGAACAAAGCGCATGAGGCCAACCACCCTGCATGCCAGCATGCACATCCCTGCACATACATGTTGTGCATATCAATGCGCTATGAACATTCGTGCACAGCTTGCTTACCACGTGCATCGCGTCCGTGTCCATCCACGGCGTCACATTTGCAATAGAGATACTGTGGTCTGTCGGCGGTTTCCTTAATTAACAATAAGCAAGTCCGAGGGATGAGGAGAGGGATCTGCCGTCTCGTTACGGCGGCAATGTAAAACACATGAAGCCAATGAAAGTCCGGCCTGGCCTTGCGGACGCGTCTCAAGTATCCGGACCAATGCCTACCAGGCCGCCGGTGATGCCTCAGAGTCATGCAAGCCCCACCACTAATGGACCAACCCGCCCTCGACGACGGCCGCTTCTGTTCCTTCCCATACTTGCCCTTGCTCCGAGCGGGAAAATGACCGGCCGGCGCGCGACACACGCCGAGACAAAGCGCAGGCGCCGCCGGCCGAAACCACGCGTCGGGACCAGGACCAGACCAGGTCCCGAGAACAGGGCGTGGTCTCTCAACGCAAGACCACGTCGGCATGTCGGGAGGCCCGCTGATCGGGCGCACCCGCCACGTGTGGCCGTTGCGCCCAATTAGCACCTCTCAACTGACTCCAGCTGACAGGAGACTCCACGGCCGACCGGCGCGTCCTGCGCGATGCGATGAAGCCCCAGCCCGCCGCTTCGTAGGACGCCGTGGGCGACCGGCGTCGTTCGGCGTGGTTCCGCCCCGTTAGCGTCGGGCTGGCCGAGCGGCGGCGCTCCCATCCGCCGCTGATACGGGCCGCGTAAGTGGCGCATAAGCGGGCCGGCTGTCCGGCACGTGAGCGATGACGGCTATGAATCAGACGGGACACGGCTGCCGCCGGTGCCGGCAGGGCGGGGCCGCCGGCACCGGGTGCGATACCGGGCCCCCAGGCGGCTGGAGTCAGAGCCGCCGGCGGGCCCTCGGGCGCACGCCGCCGACGGATGACATATGATGATCCCGGCGACCTGAGGCGGCGCGCGAGGTATCGCGTCACCCCGCACCCCGCCTCCTATGGCGAGCTGCCGGGCCCGGGACGTCAGCAGGGGAGAGGCTCCCCGACTGGCGTCAACGGCGGACCGTCGACTGCACCACGGGCGCAAGTTTAATCAGGAGAGCCGCTGCTGACATGCGCGGGTCGGTTTTACAGCGCAGCCCCGCGCCCAAATGGGAGGAGTTGGGCGCTCCAGTGAAATAAGGACAAGGGCCCGGACACGTACCAAAAGCGGCACAATTTTGAGCCAGCAGCGAGGACAGAGCCTCACAGTTCAGAAATTGCAGCGATCATAGTCTTTGGGTTAATGAAACTGTTTAGGAATGAGTGGGTCCAGGCCCGAAGCTTGGGAAAAGTGGTCCAATCTGGACAAAATTCGTTTGAAGGCCCTTTTGGGGTAGGCTTAAGGGAGTATTTCACCTTTTGTACTCAACACTTGTTGTTAGACCAAACGCGTCCAATTTGACCAGTAATACCAGCTTTCTCGCAATCGTTCTGAAAAGCTCAGAACTTTTATTTGACGAACCCGCTCATGCGGGAGAAATCTCACTTGTTCCCTGCTCATTACCATGAAAGTACTGCATTTCAACTCTCTTGCCTTTTAAACGGTTGTGTTCTGTAATGTTTGCAACACACTAATTCCTCAAAGCGCTTGTGTAATAAATGCTAAGAAAGCTTGAAACACTGTTTCGAGACAAATATCTGCAAACATAAGGCATAACAAGCTACCCCGCGAATTCAACGAAACAAGGAAATATGGCTGCTTCCCCCCCGCCCCCCCCCCCCCCCCCCCCTATGGCCTTAAACAGTGACTTATTTCGTGGCGCGCTTTGGCTTTGGGAATGGGAGTATCACATGGTCTGTAGTCAGTGACTCAGTGGTTAAAACTTCAACCAATGCGCTTCTCGGTAACTGACCCCTACTGCCCGCTGTTCATTCATGTACTGCTGTACTGCCAAACGCTGTACTGCCAAACGTTCATCTCCGCTGACGTCATTCACATCAATAGAGGCGCCCGGTTTACGTTCGCAGGCCCGCAATGTGCGGGTTTAAACAGCTCCGAAGTGGTACCTCTAACCTTCAACAGCTGGCAACGGTCCTCAGCAGATTCTGCCCATGTCATGACGACGGTGGTCGTGACAACTGCAGCTGTCACGAACTCGAAATACATTCTGTGGCTACCAAGGACAAAAAAGAGTAGTGCTGTTACCAAGTGTTAACAGATTTTAATTATTTTGTAGTCCAAGTTACGATGTTAATATTAGTCCAAATTGGACTGCACAATAATTAAAATATATGTCCTTATTACGTCTTCCTTAAGCTTTGCCATTATCAAACGCAACTGGTCCTGAGTTTTTACCAGCGTATGTTTTTGAAATATGCCTCAAAGATGGGACGCTCCCTTTTCATTATAATTACCTCCCTAATTAAATCGTTATTTCATAGCTCGATCTCCGTAGTCTTCTCTATCTGAGGAAAAACCTGTTTTTTGTGTATTTCACAGGCAGGTTTCGCCATTTCTCACTGCCTGGCCTACCTAGCCCCAACTCATCTTGCCAAACAACACCCAGGGATGTGACAAGTCACACTTTCACACAATCTGAAACTATACCCTACGTGATTCATCTCGTACGAGCCAATTTCGCATCGCGTGCCGCAGACACCTTGGTCATTTCCCGGTTGTCCACGAAAAATCTGCTTGACTGAATGATGCTGGTCAAGGCCAGTTGGACCACTTAGACGCTCCCATTAGTCCCGCGCAGTAGGTGTGGTAGCCACCAGTAATCTCGCCCAGCGTCATATCTTTAAGGTCGAGTCTGCAACGGCGGACTGAATGCAGACCAGGTCGCAGAAAACGGACATGATGATTATGACGATAATTGGAGCTTCTGGGTGCCCCGACAGCCACGGGCATAAGTAAAAACAGAAGAAAAAAGAAAAGAAAACGGACAAAACGTGCCGGTATGAACGTAGCAGCATCAAGTCGTGTGTAGCCTGAAGACTGAGTACCTAATTGGGCGCAAATACCTGCCCTGATATTGGACAAATCTAAAGCCTGTACGAGACAGTTTTATCGGCGTACGCGTACTGCTCCCAACAGAAAAATGAGCAATTTAAAACATGGCAGTAGAAGCCACTCATCAGCTGCGTGCCCAACAAGGCGCTTCCTCGGAGGCACCAGTACCTAGGCGTGCAAAATCACCAGTTTCCTCCACTAGACCATCCCAACGAGCATGCATAACACGAAAGTGCAATGATTGTCAAACGAAGAGATTTCCCAAGCCTGGGGCACACATACATCACAGAACGCTCACACAAGCGTGTGAACACGCCGCATTTAGCCTCTACAAAATCACGCTGCGCATCACGCACGCAAATTACAGGAATTGCCATCGCCTCAAATCATGGGCCCCTTCTGACTGCATGAATCACAGCCGGCGCGGTCCGCCCGGGGCCACCGCGAGGCGCGCGTCCGTTCCGGCGCGGTGGCTCCCGGCGGCGGCGGTGACCACAGGCGCGCCGCGGCGGACCGAGGCCGGCACTCGGGTGAGGCCGGCGCGCCGAGCTCACGCCCTCCGCCGGTCACCGAGCCGCTGGCGGCCGGCCCAATCAGCGGCGCATTAGCGGGCCGCAGCAGCACCGCCGCCGGGCCCGGCTCCCGGAACCGGCAGCGCCGCTGGCGGCGGCGGCGGCGGCGGCGGCGCTGCAGCGGCGGCGGCGGAGCGCGTGCACGCAGCGGCTCGGCGCGGCCGGCGGCCGGGGAGACCGGACCTGCGTGTAGACCGCTGGGCCGTGCAAACACGTCGAGGCTTCGGTGAGAGCTCCCGGGAACATGAATCGGTGTCTCCCGATGACTGGTGGGATGACGGCGAGCGGCACTGTACGAGGCTTTATGGCCTAGTCCATGGCCCACAGTCCTGGCCACACCGACCACATGTCTTAAAACGAAGATCCCGAAGCTGGGGAACTTTTGACCTCAAGCGTTTGATTCGCGTGCCGCATACCGAAATCCTGTACCGCAGGCGACCATCAAATTAAAACGGCCAATCTCATTCCCAGGCAGTGCAATATTCACGACCACATAGTAAACGCGTCAACAGAAACAGCGCGGCCTGACCTTTAGCCCCACTCGTGTGGTTCATTTACACCCTGATCGGATTCCAGCAGTCATATAATGCAATGTACATATTTGTTCACGCCTGGTTACTATAAAGGATATTACCACGCATATATCATGGTACGGTTTGTGGCAATGACAACAGGAAAATATCAATAGCGGGGGGGGGGGAGGGCATTACCGCACCTACAATTAACGGCATTCTGAACATAACGAGCTATGTTACTCACCCCAAGTCGCAACGGAAACGAACAGAGCATGTATGTACTCATAAGTACTATCCAATCTTAAACCCGGTATTATATTACAAAATGTATCATAAACCACAAAATCACACGTAATAGAACATGTAAAATGGTGAACACGTGACTGTAAAAATTGTATCTGCCTGAGAATACCTGCGCCCCACCTACTGAAATTACAAACATGGCAGACGTTGCTCGCCTATGCCAGTAATTCAGTCCTGGACGATCGTTTTTTTTTTCGGTTTACGGCCCCCGCCATTTCATCAAAGGAATTCGGATGCCAAACAGACGATGTGCATAAAGCGGCTCGTGCGCCCCCGCGCTGCAATACTTACCGAGCATGAGAGCTTTACCGACCGCAAAACAAACGAGACAATCGAGTAAGTCGCTCGCAACTCTACGAGCCTATGAACGCTCGAAAGTTAGCATGCCGGCACTTACGCTCAAGCGACCATCCTTTAAGCTCCTCAGGCGTAATCTACACACTGGACATGACAACGCAACGACGGTCTGCCTCAATCACCACCCGGGGCCGTTTACATGGGATTAGCTTGACAGCTGCCACCGGCTGTGGCCACGTACCAGCGACGAGCGCCTAACTCCGCCATAACACAAGCCATGCGCGGTGAAGTGGAGCGGCGCAGCACGCCAGCTGCGGCCCGCGCCACATGCGCCAGTACCCAGGGCTCCGGCACTGCCGACCCGCCCGCTCACCCCACGCGGCCAGTCGCGGGGCAACGCCCATAACAAGACTGAATGACCTGAAACCTTTCTGCTGTTTCTTGGGATATATAAATATTTTTTTTTGGGGGGGGGGGGCCGGCGCCCACTGCTGGGTCCATATTGCGCCAATAACAATGGCAGCATTGCACATCATTGCAAAGATCAGTTAATTCACATAATCTTAATAAACCCCGGAACATATTATATAGCAAACATACAATACCAGTAAAAAAAACAACAGCAAAAAAAGACCGCCACCACCAAGCAGGCGCGAACCTAGAATATAGCGTAATTTGTGCAATGCGACATTTCGCTCCAGGCGCCACACACGCCGCTGAGCCGACCTGTGGCCACGAGGGCATCCTGCGACGCGCGGTCACGAGAGCCGCACACCACCTCACACCGAGGTCTGTGCGCACCGCACGACCGGTGCCTGCCGGTCTCGAACGGGCGGCGAACACACAGCCTGCAGCGCACTACCTCCTTTCGCCTAGCCTCGCGTAGGCTACAGTCTTGGGCTTAATTTGGGGCTCATAACCATGAGCTTGATATTAGATTTCCAAACGTAACAGAGCTGCCACTTACGTGGCAGACAGGGCAAAGTGGCTGGGTACAAGACATATGCTGGAGGGGGGCTGCACGTGCATAAGGCTGCCGCGAAGCACATTCACCGCGGAATCCGCGAGTTCGTTTCCCGAGAATGCCGGCATGACAACGGATGCAGCATAGCACAATCTTCTTTTCAGTGCGATCCCATGCTTAGAGCCGTTCTAAAATGCTCTGTGCAAGGTGAAGTGGCGTGTCAAAAGTCCTCAATGCCAAACGGCTAACAAAAGAATCTGTTAAAGAGGTCTGAGGACTTCTCTCTCTTCCTTCAATCAAATACAGTGCTCTGACAACAGCATACAGCTTGATAACCCCGTATGTGGATGGACAAGGTGGATGGATGAATTCTTTGATAACAGCATGGATCTTTAAGTAAGCATGGATCTTGATTTACTACAGTTCAGAATATCTGGGCCAAAATGTACGCCGTCATGAATCGGAGCACTGAAATATGCATGGACTGTCACCAAGGTTGAAAAAATGAAGGCATTACAAAGCGTTTTACAAAGGTGTTCAAACAACTTTGACTGTTAACTATGCAGCAGACAAGTAGAAAGTGACGCATTTAAGATGTCTGCACGTAAGAAATACGTAAGTGAGAAATATGGCATTTGACATAAAAAAACAGAAGGCGCGAGTCCCTGCGACGAATCTCTTTCAAAGCATTGCGACATCTACGTGGTAGTATAATCGCAACGCTCCCCTGTTCTGGCAACTGCTATCTTATGACGGGCAATTCAAGTCCACGGCAACAACCTTCTACCAACAAATAAACCGAGAAAGGAATTCTCTGAAACTTGCCCACCAGCACTGCATGGAATCCACACATCAAACAATTAGTGGCAGCTACCACCAGCGGTGCCGCCGGCAACTGTTGGACCGACCGCCAGAGGTCCGGGCGGCAGGGCTGGCGCGGCGCACCGGCGGGGGCCGCTGCCGGCGGGCCGGCCGGGGGCCGCCGGGTCGGCGAGGCCGGCTGGCGCGCCGCATATAAGGCGCGGACGGGCGGGGTCCGCCACACACCACCCGCCCACCGCCGAACGCCATGGCCCGCGCCCTGCTCTCGTGCCTCGCTCTGGCCTCCCTGCTGGCCGTTGCGCTGTCGGCCGACGCCGACGCCGCAGCGGCAGACCAGGAGGCGCAGGAGGCGCGCTACGGCGGCTACGGCCTCGGCTTCGGCTACGGCACCTACGGTCGCAACTTCAACGGCTACCGGGGCTACGGCAACTACGGCAGGAGGTGAGCGCGGGTCAAGCCACGGGGCGCAGCGCGGGTCCAGGCCAAGCCACGGGGCGCAGCGCGGGTCAAGCCACGGGGCACAGCGTGGGTCAAGCCACGGGGCACAGCGCGGGTCGCAGCGCGGGTCAACCCACGGCCTGCAGCGCAGGCCAAGTCACGGGGCGCAGCGCGGGTCAAGCCACGGGGCATAGCGCGGGTCAAGCCACGGGGCATAGCGCGGGTTAAGCCACGGGGCATAGCGCGGGTCAAGCCACGGGGCATAGCGCGGGTCAAACCACGGGTCACCCCAGAGACGGCCAACAGCCGAGGCCGCCACGGCCGATGCATTGCCGGTCACCACGGCAGCCCGCGCGGTGACTGAGACGAACAGCGCGGCACCGACCGCTCGCGCTGCACCCGGACCGTGCCCGTGCGCCCCCCCCCCCCCCCTCGCCGGCTCTGCTTCCCGCAGCCTAAGCTCTGGCGTTCACTGCCGGCCTCTCGTTGCAGCTACTACCCGGGCTACGGCCGTAGCAGCCGCTACCTGGGCCGCTACGGCCTCTACAACAACGACTATGGCTACGGCCGCTACGGAAGCTACGGTCGCAGCCTGGGTCGCTACGGCGGCGGCTACGGCGGCTACGGTAACCGCAACGGCTACGGCTACGGAAGATACGGCTACAGGAACGGCTTGGGTCTTGGCCGCCGCAGCGGATACTATGGCAACTACGGCAACAACTACTATGGCTACTACTAGACTCCGAACGTCAGCTGTCGACCCACTCTCTCCCGCACTCTGTCAGTAGCAAATGCCTTCGCAACAACCAAAATACACGCGATATCCCGAAAGGTGATGTCACAAACCAACTGGCCGTGTTGCATTTCGTATGGCTCGGCGGAAGACTGCCTGCCTCAGAAGCGACTGCCTCCGAAAGTGACACGACAGCCGAGCTGAGCATTGACAACACAGAACGAGCAGCGCATTGCACCCCAACCCCAAAGCAGGCAGGCTCTGGCAGCGGCACGTGGCCGCCTCCACACGGCCCACCGCCGCGGCCGCTGGGCCCGCCCACTCACGCGGCAAGGTAGTGCCGAACTTATCCGGGAACATGTCGATGATGCGGTTCTTGAGCGTGCGCCGGCCGACGCCTTGGCAGCCGATCAGGCAGAGCACCTTCCGCTGGAAGGGTGGCATGCGCGCCACCTCCTCGTACAGCGTCAGCTCGGCCTTGTCGAACTCGTTGTTCTGCTTGGAGCGGTACATCTGCTTGCGCTTGCGCTTGCTGATCTGCGGACGGCGGAGGCGGTGAGCGTGGCGCGCCGCCGCCGGGGCAGGCGCCGGCGCGAGACGCGGCGACCCCCGCGTGGATAGCGGGGATCACTAAAGTCTTGGTGTTCAGGTGGGCGACACAATGCGACAGCGACTGGGATTCCGGGTCCGTGACAGCGGGCGTGACAAATGTGCAGTTGTCATGGGGTCATCCCATGTCCCCCTTACCCTACGGGCATCTGAAAATTGGAGATTCCATCCCCCAGCGAAAGTAAAAAGTGCAAGCACTGAAACCATCTGAACTTCATTACTGGCGTCAAGTAGGTGCTAAACCTGGACCGGTACCAAATCCTTTCCGCGCTTGCATACTTTGGCGTTAATTATTTCACACACATCGTTGCGGCGTTGATTAAGACCACTCTGCATGTTAATGAGAACAAGGTTATCGCGATGCCCCGGCTCTGAGCGATTCGCAAATGGCCACGTAGGCCCGTAAGTTCGCTCCAATGGGCCATTGACTGCATCACGGACGCACATCGGCTGAAATACCAAGGCGGCCACAAAATGATGACCCGAGCGCCCCCGTTGGCCGCATACATTCCCAGTGAAACCCGCCGCAGCCAGCAAGGCCCGCACAGTGCGACACGCGAGTGCAAAGTCAGCAACGAAACCACCCAAACGAAGCGCCGGATCAATACCACATGAAGCTCTCCTGACCGGCCGAAATAATTCCCCCCAGTCACATTTCGTACGGCCGCGCGGCCATTAACTGCCGGGCGATCCAATCGGTCCGGCCGGAGCTGGCGGCCAGTGGGTATGGTATCTGACCCGGGGACCATCGGTCCGGCCGGAGCTGGCGGCCAGTGGGTATGGTATCTGACCCGGGGACCATCGGTCCGGCCGGAGCTGGCGGCCAGTGGGTACGGTATCTGACCCGGGGACCATCGGTCCGGCCGGAGCTGGTAGCCAGTCGTGCGCCGGCCGTTGAGGGCCATCAGTCAGCGGTCCGCCCGGCGCCGGCAGCCCAGCGACGCGGTCCGGACGCACTGCCTGCGACCACAGGGGGCGCGGTCTCCACATCTCCCACGCGACATCCCATCCCGAGAGGGCACGGTCTCGACCTGACGCGTGATCCCAGCGGGCCACGCCAGTGGCGTCCTGGTCCGTTGTCGCCGCCCAGCGCCGCGTCCGGCCGGTGCCGCCCAGTCGTCGCTGGCAGCCGGCAGCCGTCGGAGGATACTGCGCCGCCCGGCAGCCGCCTCCGCCCAAGAGGACGCCTCCGTCGCCGGAGACAGTTGCCGTGTAGCGATAAGCGCCCGGCCGCCGGTCGTGACCGAGACGCACCAACACCGCGCCACGGCGCGCACGTGAGATCATCGACGGTGACGTTCCACAAGTGCGGTACATACGCCGCCGGATCAGCGGTCGCTGCTATCCCGCGCCCTTGCCAGACATGGAGGAAGTTTGTTTGATTTTGCAGTGATGTCAGACCCATCACCTCTGGTGTGTGAGATGCTTCCATTCGCGGGTCTCAGCGTGTCGGAAGCATGCACCGTGAAACCGAACACCCCATATTTGATTGCGTACACCAAGCTGAGTTCCCGTCCCCTGAGCCAAGAGCTGGGCCTGTATGCCTAAATACAAATGACATTCTGGTTGGCAATCTCAATGAAGAACAGGACGCCTGGACCCGTGAAGCCCTCACTACTGACGGCGCTACTGGTGCAATGCCGTTCCGATTGTTGCCAATAAGCCGTCACATCCACAGCCACCGTGCCGTCACCGGAGCGTATTGTGTTCCTCAGCGGTGATTGGTCGAGTGGAATGGGAAGCCGGGCAATCGACCAATCAGGAGCAAAGGGGCTCCGGTCGCTGGTGGATGTAATGAAGTTGGAATTCTGAGCCAGATGATGTTCTTCGCTCCACTCAAAGGGATCGCACAACGCGAGAGGAGTTGATCCCGTCCAGATCCCGTCCCGGTCCCGATCCCGTCCCAATCCAAACCCCAATGCCGTTCCCGCGGTCAATCAAAGACAAACTAGCTTAGTATGAATTATCGACAAAAGCATTCTACAATGGGATGGGCCCAGGACAGCTGTTTACTCTCCCTGAAACCGATGTACTTCCAATGACAATTGTCTTAGCAACACTACGGTCGACGGGGACAAACTGGCAATCGGATCGTGTTGTTGCGATGTGATGGTTTTTAAGGCGGCGAAAGAATGAATGACAATCTCTGGTAAGCATGAATGAATCCTGTGTCAAAAAATCCTGACTCACACCAACCCCAAATGCGCGCAAACCACGACAGTATTATACGAGAAACATTTTTTCCTAAATATGCTCTTATAGCGAGCGCCCGCAGGCCCGGTGGCAAGTGACCAGGGGTCCAGTGTGTGCCTACAGTCCCGCGGTCAGAGGGCATCGTCTGTCCCCTAACTGGGCCGGCACACCCCGCGGGGTGGAGGGGGAGGGCAGCAGTCGCGTACCAGCGTGCCGCAGATGCCGATCTTGTGCACGTAGTCGGATTCGGGCGGCACGTACGCCTTGCGCCGCTCCTCCAGCTCCTGGGACGGGATGAGGCCGGCCGGCGCGTTCACGCCCACGCGCTGCGCCTGCCACCAATTCGGATCGGACCGGTCCATCACCTGCAAAGGGGAAACCATAGGCGTCAGCCAGGTCGGAATGGGAGCGTCGCCGCTGCAGCGTCGCTCTCCGGGGGAAACAGTACAGTACAGCGCGGGACGCAGGGGAGGGTGTCTCAGCCATCAGTTCACATGAAGACAGACTGTCGCCAAGCCGGCCTACAGCCCCTCAGCCCCAGACAAATCAAGGGGCAGATCAAAGGCCAACTGACCGGGCGCCGCAGAAGTTACGGCGTAGACCATTCTGGCGTTCCAGCCAGATAAGTCTCATCTGACTTGTAATTTTCTCCAGCATTATCAGCCCCGTCAGGTTGTCTGCAGATGTTAAACCAGTACGCATCAGAGGAATCCAGGGGGCAGGAAAGATCCCAACTGACATTCACTTGCCGAAGCTTGTTGCCATCAACCATAGGCTTTCGAAAACAAGGAAAATAATCCAGACAAAGAGTCCCAATTAGAGAATGGCTAACCACCACAATCATCTAAAGCAGATATCACTGACCCAAGCTCAAATAGGGCTTGCAATGAGATACTGCGCCGTCACACAACGCGTCTCACAAATTGTATAGCCCATGATGGCCAGAGTAAGCGCCAAAAGTCATGTTTTCAACAGATGGATAGGGCTGCCTTACAGTAGCCTTTGACCTCGTCTAATTCGCTAAGATTTCGACACATAATAAATAATTAAAGAAAAGAATTATCGCATGCGCGATACAGGAACAGCAATTACACTGATAGTTAATCATGTTCTCAGCGAAGCCCAAATGAGGTTCGACCTGCGGAAGCCCACATACCAGGAAAGTCTGAACGTTGAAGCTAATCGGTGACGTGAACGTCCATTCAATAGCTTGCTGCCGCATCCATTTGTGCGTTCACGACATGATTTGCTTGGGTATTCGCTGTCGCCCAAGACACGTGGGCTCAATCATCTCACAAAGCTCAGCACATGACCCCAGCCGTTGTCAATTCGACCCAATTCAGCCGCTTCTCGTCCCAGGTTTGTGGTACCCACAAATTACCAACAGAAATGGCCCTGTCTTTGAAGTTGCGTGTCGGGCGTCAATGGAGGGCAGGAAACGACGCGTCCACGGCGGCCTCAGTGAAAGCTCCCAGCCCGCCACTCCACAAAGTCATGGGAGCCGGCCGTAACGCCTCCGCGCCACGCGCTGTCGTTCCGGGGGGGGGGGGGGGGGGGGGCGGCAGCCGGCGCCCCGAGCTCCAGGCGCGCCAGCCACTGGGTCAGGTGCAATGGCGCACGCTCACACCAGCGCGCGCAAGGGCCCGGCGGCGCAGTCTGGAGTCTGGCGCCGTGGGCCTCCCGAAACGCCCCTCGTGGTGGGGGCTCGTCCAGCAGACACAAATCGGACGGCGAGACCACACGAGGGGCTCGCCAAGGGGGTCGGGCAGACCCCCGGGGCGGGTCCCGATTGTGACAGACCAGGACGGGGCGCAGGTCCGACCGGGGCCGCGAACGGGAGAGCGTTGCACAAGCAGGCCCACACGGTCAAACCGACCGAACAAAGATATCCAATAGCAGAAGATGAATGGCGGGGTGACGGGGGGGGGGGGGGGGGAGGGAGGCAGTGGTACGCACGAAAGATCCGATCGGCCTGCTGACAGTCTCCGGAATTATACGGTGAAGGCGGGGTACACCCAGGCAGCAAGACGGCCCACAAAGCGACCACCGCAACAGCAGGAGAGTGCGATGTCAAGACATTAGTGCTACCACAAAAACACCTACCGACAACACTGCTACAGTACTTTTACTGCTTACACTCATACCCGACATCAGTGCTCCGCGACAAAACTTATGCTTCCTAAGCACATACCCGTCATTGCTTGACTGCAAAACTCATGCAGTCTTTACGTATCGGCGACATTACTTCTAATACCCATACTCAGCTGTGGAGTGCAAAATGCGTGGACACCTAGCAAGGGTAAAGGAACAATTTGCAGGTTGGGAGGAAACGCTTACCGGACTACACTGCAATTGAACGTTTGTGGTGCCCATACCAAAAATTATCCATTCCTCACGTTACGATATTTTTCGATTTGTCCTGCTTGACATATGCGTTAAAGTTGTAGTTCTGAAAGCAGAGGCTCAAAACGAGGAGTGTGACATTTTGAAGTAGTAATTTTGTCGTGTAGCACTGAAGTGTTCTATACGACACTGGAGAAGTGATGTCGCGTTTTAGTAAACACAAAACTCGATGTGTGATTCGTATTCAGTGGGAGATCCCAACCATCACTAATCTGTGATGATAGGACCTCACATGCGGGGCAAACCCCACGTTTTTGTCTAGTGGGGTAGGTTCGGCCGTTTCCCTGCCTGGCCCGCAAACTTGTTTTGCAACACTATTACACAGCACTCGTGGACTTTTTCAGCACAAGAAATATCGCGCAGAACTACTGCAATCGTGAATTTGTTGGTCAAAATATTTGCAGCGGCACTTATCATCGAGACCATGGAGCTGACAACACTACTCAGGTTTTGCCCAACCAAGTGCTCCGATACGTTCGCTCCCCCAATTTTTTTTTTGGCTCAACCTATAAATAAACGTATTCACGGGTACAATTTGTCAACACGCGCTACGGTGGGGGCCAATTTGAACCCCCGAAGGTTTTCCCGGAATGGTTTCCGAACGGCGCGGGGTAGCAGCGCCTAACGTTGCGTAGCTTTATATAACTAAATAGCGGATCGTTTGGTATCAAAAATTTCGATGCACCTTGCAAGGTCGCTGACCGGCGGCATGTGAAAGTCAAGCCATGGATTCAGTGAATACAATTTCTGGGGAATCGTTCAATCTGATGCGACAACGGGGTGTTACACGAAGCCATACACCTCTGAGATAGTTTCCTTGGCAACACAATAGCCTGAACAAATTCCATTTACCTAGCACCAGATATAAAAAACGGATCTACGTCAAAGTCAACCTGTTTTATTGCTCTTGAGCTAGCTTCATGGTGTAGCTTCTGACACTCACTTTGAATCTATTGATAGCAGGAACCGTATCATCCATCTTCTATAAGCTTCTTTGCTCAGCATAGATCACTGACCTAAAATGAACCAAGGCAACATCTTGTTTTGCGGACGTACTGCCAACGTAATCTTTGACGCTTATCTAAATGTAAAACTGAATGCAGCCTTCTATAATTCTAGTCGCTGTGACCTCTGAAAGCTCAAACGAGGTTACTGACTTTAAATGAGCACCAATGATATTTTACTTACAACAGGCATTAGGTTCTGGAGAACTTTGGACACCAATCTGGAGCTTGACCATGTTTGACCTTATTGGACCCGTAGGCCATGACCTAGGAACCCCAAATTTTGACACAAGTGAGTTCAACGCACAGGCCAACGCATCCTGTGAATTTGGTGTCTCTAGCTCATTTAGTTCCTGAGATTTCAGGGGGGGAGGGTCAAGTTGATCTCCGCACCCGAGCGAAGGGTATTCAACCGGCCCCCCGGGCGCGTTTTAAGTGTCGTCTGTATCGTATAACGCAAAAGTAACGTAACGTATGAGCAGGAGAAGAAATATCACTTTGAGGTAAAACTAGATGGGGTTTTGCGGTAGACGTTAAGACAGGTATATTTTTCTAAGTTCAGTTTTGCCGTGTAGCACTAATGTAATCCAAAACTCTACAGTTGGAAGCAATGTCGCTTATAAGGAAAAACTGCATACGTCCGGAGGAGGGGGAGGGGGGGGGGTAACAGCAACGACGAATATATACTTTTGTACGTCGTTGATAAAGCATGTCAATAGTATAAGTTATGCCGTGTAGCATGCAAGCAGTGCATGAATTTTTACAGCAGAAGCAATTAAGGACATATGTTTTGAGGCGTTTATGTTGACTTGCAGCGCTCATAACGTGTATAAGTGTTTGCAGTACAAGTGATTTTGCGCATGAATTACGTCTGCATAGGTTTATTTGTAGCAGAAGCAACGCCGTAGAACAGCCGTCCAAGTTCTCGCTGTAGCACTGATGACGTGACACCGGAGAGCGCGGCCAGAGCTCAGCGGTGTCCCCGGTCAGCCACTGGGCTACATTAGTCGACCGGCCGGGAGGTCATGTGTAATTGCGTTCGGGCAGGGGTGGAGGTGGGGGAGGGGCTGACCGCGCCGCCGGGCTTCTCTGGCCGCCTGACCCGCCCTTGGCCCGGTCCCAAGGAGATGCGAAGACGGCGCTGGGGCCACCCAGACACGCCCTGGTCAACGTGGCACACACCGGAACCCAGTCCTGCACCACTGCCATCACAGGTGAACCTGCTATCACCACCAACACCATCAAGCGGTGGCGCGCAATCTGAGCTCGCCATGGCGCCTGACCGGAAAGGCCGTTAAACACGGAACAAGAAACGCTACATAATCTATACAAATCTACACTGAAGGACGAGGCCTGCATGCGGTGCAGACCACTTGGCGCAGTCTGAGACATTGCGTATTTCTGACCCCTGTGCAGCACACGGGCCGCGAGTCGCGGGTCCTCGGAAGGCAGGTCGGCGACGACCATTTCGGCACACGCGGCGCAAGTGCCTCACATTGGGAGGTGGGTTTGTGTCGTCGAACACCATATGGTATGTTGTGTAACACCATACACCAGCACCCATACCGACCTGAGCATAGTCTGACTCGCGCCCAAAAGCACCCACCGCCGACTCCGCCGCACATGGATCCCTCCCGCCCCCACCTAGCACAACGCCGCGCTCTATGGACATGTACAGCGAGCGTTCTCCGACTCCGCTCTGAGTCTCCGAGGTTCTCGACTGACGGCTGCCGCGCCGCGTCAGATCGCGAGCTGCGCCGGTCGGCCGCCGGCCGCAGGGGGCCGCAGGGGGCCGCCGCGCCGGCCGGATCCAATCAACACCGGCCGGCCGGCGGCGCTGTCCGGCCGGCGCGCTGGCCGCCGCCAATCTCCCCGCCGCCGCCAAATTGCCGCTGTGCGACCCCCCGCGCAACGGCAGCGCGTGATTAGGCGGCGTTCCGGCGGAGAGACGGACGGCG